CACGTCCGGACCTCAGCAGCCTAAAGAGGAGCCGACCCCCCTTAATACCGACACAGCTGTCCGCGAATATATGCCTCTGCGACTTGGCGGCTCTGCACTTGGCGGCTCTGCACTTTCCACCACTCCATAGGTTGCGGACGTGGAGCCTTCTTCTATTTCAATTATCGTTGAATTAAAAATATCATTGCTCGAGGCAGAGTCCAAGCTCTCTTCAATTATTGCCGCTTCCACTATTCTGCCACCGAAAACTTCGTCTAGTTCATAGTAACAAGTGCACTTTTTTAGCAAAGTAGCTGAAACAAAATTGTTTGACTTAAAGTTAAAGCGAATGAAATTCATAGTGGACAAAAAATCTTACCTTTTAATGTCTCCCCTTCCATGCTGCCAGCGCCAGTCGAACCTTCCCATGCTTTGGCTTTATTATAGCTCAACCTCATATTTCTCACCTTCGCACGTATCAACTTCCACTCTACAGCGATGTTCGCCTCTTCCGCGAACCGTCTATAATATGATTGCGCTGTTGGTTTCTATAAAAGTTGTTAATATAAATTTAATATCGTACTACTATACTATACACCTACTTCAAAATTTCTGTTGCCCATCAAAAATTCTTCTAGTGCCTTTTCTTCCGCCACTGTCCATTTCTTGGTCGGATTAAGTCGCACACGTTTTGCCTTTGGCTGGAACAAATGTATTTAGTAAATTTTTGGCCACTTATGCTTTTGTATTCGATAACTTACCTGGATATTTTCTCCTTGCTGCATTTCTTTGTAAAATTAACAAATTTACGCAGCAGCAGAATGAAAATGGCAAAAGTAAAATGCGAAATGAAAAGGTAAACAAAAGACAGCTGATTAGATACGACAACCCAAAAACATACCGTGCAGAGTTGTATTTCATTAGTACACAATTCACGTAGCAAGCAACAACAAAATATTTTAAACCGTCATAAAATTTATGATATTATGACAATATGACTCGTTATGACACCTTGTGAATCACCTAAGTATATTTTGCTTTGCTGCCTCTATGCTTAAGTGCACATTTAGATA